CGTTGTCCGACTCTTGCGTTGAATTGAAGGACTTGATGAGACTGACGTTTGCCAAACGTTTATTCAGACCTGACCTATGACTGAGAAACTAAGAGTTTTCGGATTTTAGTCCGGACGCATGTGACGTCCGGGGGTATCGGGTGTGAACGACAAAGGCTACGCTTTTGTCGAAGCCGCAGGAACGTGCGGATAAAGAAATGCTAAAACTAAACCTAGTCTACCTAAAGTAATGTCGCGCGGGTGCTGAGCTGTGCGATTCAGGGCCTAAGTGGGCTAAAAAGAGGGTTGCGCTGGGGTATAGGGCCACGACGTAGGAGATGCAGGAAAGCTTTTGTTTTCTCTTGGGCCGCGGGGTCTAACTTCGAGCCTGGGGGCCGATAGGCAAATGCCAAGGCTTACCCGGTTCGATGGCCGACCAAGCCGCGGTCACGCGGCTAACCGGTATGGGTAGGCCACAGGCTGGGTAAGCCGACGAGCCATAGGCTGGGTAAGCCGGCAGGCCACAGGCTGGGTAAGCTGGTAGGCCACAGCCGGGGCAGGCCTGCTAAGCCATTTACGGGTTGAGCCTGCAAGGCTGCAGGCTGAGAGGATACATGGGCCAACTCTTCATATTGAAGAGCTGCTCCTGTTCAGCGTGGAACAGGAGCTAGCCCAGTAGGTTAACGTAGCAGACTTTCACCTGGCAGATACCAGGATCGAATCCGACGAAGTTGTACTACTGGGCTGGCTCCTTTTGAGCTGGACCCTTCTTTTTTAGAAGGCATCTGAACGCTGCCGATCTCGGTCGTCCGATCATGAGGATCTCACGACTGAGATCAGCCGCACGAAGTTAGCAAGGCCCCTGCGCAAATGATGACACGCGTAAATCTAAATAATAAATAAATAAAAATAAATAAAAATAAACAAAGAAAATTCTACATCACGCCACATGGCGCGCGAAGATGTGCCCAAAGGCACATAGCTGTTACCGTTGGCATAAGCCAACGGTTCTCCTTTACTGTTACCCTACGATCTAACGCGCCAGATGGCACAAGAAGATGAGGCAGGGGACTGTAAGTCCTCAGGAGGAATGACAGGCACCCGTTTTCAACGGGCAGCCGTTTTCTATCCTAGGTAAGGTGGTTTTGTTTTTCTGACTTTTTTTTCAGATTTTTCTTTTAGATTTTTCCTAGATTTTAGTTTAGATTTTTCTTTTTTTTTTCTTTGTCTTCTTTTGTTAGGGCACCCGTTCGTTTTGAACGAACGGGTAGCTCTGTGCCAGGCTGTTTCGTCGGAATCTCACCGACTCATCAGGAGGCTGAGCCTCAACCGTCTGGGCAGCAACTGAACGAGTAAAGCGCCTGAACCTGGCGCTTATGGCGCCTAGGAACAGGCGCAAAGTAGAGAAAAGGCAGGGGGTCACCTACCTCGTTGACCCCATGGGACTGCCACCTATAGGATGAGCAAAATCGAATGAGTCTACCTCCGGAACGAGGAGGTATGCAAGGGAGTTGAGGGAAAGGCCACCCAGGTATGCATTCGTCTGCAACTGCAGGCGAACGAGGTGAGTTTTGCTTTTTTTTGTATTTCCTTTTGTTTTTCTTTTTCTTAGATTTTGCTTTAGATTCTTCTTAGATTTTGTCTTCTTTTTTTTTTTTTTTTTTTTTTTTTTT